GACAACAGTTCAACAAGAAACGACAGGAACAACGTCAACGACAAAACCACTACCAATCCTAAACCCCTAAACCCTTATAAACCCTAAACCACAGTCTGACTCCCTCCTAAACCCGCGAATCGGCAAGGACGGCCCAGGCACGCGAAGCCCAAGGTCACTGCACGACCAGCCATACCACCGAGGGCAGATGAGATGGCCAGGCCTAGTGAAAAAAAGCTTCTGATTTAGGATTTTGCTGTCAGTCATGTTGATGTCTCTTTGTCGGCAATAAACTCTAGGGTTCAGGGTGCAAGGTTTAGGGTTTTGGCTTCTTGTGCTTGAAAAAGGAATTACATAAGGGCCTCGTAAATGGTTCTAAATAGTTTAAGTACGTCGAAACTGGTCTGCAGCTGACAGCGATTTCTATGTGCTTTAGCAAATGGAGGCTGATGCCGTAAGGCACCCTTTTGAAGCCGGTAGTGTGGCTCTCTGGCGAGTCGACAGACAGACAGGAGTAGGGTTTAATCCTGAGGGTTGAGAATACCCTGGGGCCCCAAAGTAGTTCCTTTTTGGGGTTCGTATATAGAATCCTATAAGGTAATCCCAAACAGGAACTACTTTGGGGCCTATGGGTAAAGCCTTAAAGATCTGAGTGTCGGTTTCGTTCTTCAATCCCCAAATGCCCAAACCTTAGAACCCCAAGCCCAGTTCCAAACCCCTGCCAAAACCAAGCACTAACCTCAAAACTTGCCTCTGGCCGAACCCTAAAACCCCCAAGGCCCAAGCCGCAACCTAATACCCACTAAACCCCCAAACCCCACGCCCCGAACCCTAGACCCTCTGAGCGCCAAAACACTGAAACCGAAGCCCCAAACCCCAGGAACAGGACGGTCCCGCCTCCTGCAGGGAGCAGCACAGCTAGAAGGGCTGTTAGGAAGAAGCCAAACAGCAGTGGCCTCGGGGTTAGGGTTTAGGGTATAGGCTTTGCTGAACATAATGGAGTTGGGTAACATGTAGTACAAGTCTCAAACCTACACCACGCGGCAGCTGTTCAAACATGGGAGTCTCCATACTAGCCTCAAGGCAAGATCCCTTATGCTCCCAAAGGTCGCTTCTTACATCTTCGAGCAGGTCTCGGCATGTTGTAGTGCACTGGAACCGGGGTGCTATACAGGGGGTAGTTACTCTGACAAGCGAAAAACCCTAAATGGCTCGAAACCCCGATCTAAACGGGGAACCTGGTTAAGAAGCCCTGGGCCTCTATTCGGGTTGCTTTTATGAACCCTACTATTTGGGGGGTTATAGGCCCAGGGTTTCTTCCAGGGTTTCTTAATCAGGTTCCGGCATTAAACTATACCAAACCGATCCGAACGGTACACCCCGAATAACCCGCCCGAAGCTCTACACAAGCGTATTGCTGCCCACGCAGCAGCAGGACCTCATCCAGACCTTCGATGAAAGCCCGCTCCATTCCAGAACCCAGGCGCTCAGCAAAGCTCCCATGGATCTGACCAGGTCGAGTTCGGGGGTTTAGGATGTACCCTTTCAATAACCTACCAAAGCCTACCTTTTGTAGGGTCCCTATAAATTCCATATTAAGGGTTTGTAGCAGGAACCTACAAACAGGCAGGTCTTCGTGGGTTTTCGCCTTTAGTTTATAGGGCTTAAAGGCACCTCGAACACAGTGCCGATAGGCTCCGGTGTAGCTCCCTGGTTCGGTTTAGCCAAGGGCAGTTTGAGGTTCTTAGCAGGCCACCGAAGATTCATGCCCCAAAACCCGGTTTAACCCCAAACCCCTAAGTCCTAATCCCCGGCAAGGGCTTCTCAGAACTGGAAACCCCAAACCCAAGAACTCCATTGTCTCCTTTGTGGTTCCCTTCCTGGTCGACACAATTCTATTTTTTGGGATCCTGTACGGTCACCCCAACGAGGAACTGCAGTGGAGACTTTACGCGGTTTTGGGCTTGGCCCTAAATTAGGAACCTGCTTTTGGGCAGGCCGCCCGATTGAAGTTCAATAGGCCCCGGCCCTGCACCCTAATTAAGCCCCAAACCCTGAACAAACAAGACCCTATACAAACCCCAAGCAAACAAAAGCCTAAACCCTAGACCCCCAGCCCGAAACCCTAAACAAACAGAATTGTCGGGGCCTCAATAGTTAGAATAGGGCTTTGGGGCCCAATATACTATCGGTACTGCCCCCATACAGTAAGAGTCTATAATAGGGCTAGTATTAAGGTCCTAATATACCTATATTATGAATCTTATTCAACTATTACTGAGTGGGGGCCGTACCCAGACTATACCAATAATAAGGACCGCCCCCAAATAGTATAGGTAATTTTTTGAATCCCTATATTGCCTCTTCGTCCTGGTTACAGCTCGAAATGGAGGAATCAGAAACCGAAACCCTAATCCCTAAACCCTAAAACAAACAGCACCCAAACAAGATACTATATACCAGTGATAAGGACCCCCAATATATATATATATATATATATATATATATATTTATTTAGTTATTGATTTATTTATATTTATTTATTTGTACATGTGTATATATATATATACACATGTGTATATATATATATAAATAAATAAATAAATAAATAATATATATATATATATAAATAAATATATAAATATAAATATAAATATAAATATATATATATATATACATGTAGGGCTCGAGTCACCCACTGAGGAATCTCGGTAGCCCCAGTACCGCATGCCATGGCCGCGAAGCGGAAGGCGGTACGTCATGAGCCTGCTAGATGATCGACCGGAAAGCTGGCAACTACCGCACCCCACCCGACGTGATGGAGTCATAGGTGCGAAGGGCACGCAGCGCAAGGGGGCCAGGGTGAATACTGGTTCGGAGGACCCACTCATGGTTGATGAGTCCGCGGCTGACTTGAACAAGACTTTTCCAGCCGCGTATCGTCAAGCGGAACGGTGGCTCCTCATGCAAGGGCATATAAATTCTCAACCTCAAAGCTGGCAACCGCGCGATGGTGCGCATGGGGGCGAAGGACACTTTGTTCAAGAGGGCCAGGCTAAACATTGGTTTGGAGGACACTCTCGCAACTACACGGTAGAGGAGTTTGAGGCTGGCTTCACGGAGACGCTTGCCTTGCAGCAGTGCGTCACCATGCAGAACAGAGGCTCGCCAGGCGAAGGCATCTGTATCATCAAACTTGAAGCCGGCAACCGCTGCACCTCACTTGAAATGATGGCGCTCATGGACACGAAGCCGAAGGACACACTGTCCAGGGTGACCATTAATTAGTTTGGAGGGCACGCTCGCATACTACATGTTAAACGAGTTTGCGGCTGGCCTTAGGTGGAAAGCTGCCAACTACAGCCTTCACCCGTCATGATTCGTCTACGGGCCTGCTGCAAGTCTTACCGAGGGGTTATGCACTGACGACTGGTCTTCGATCTGTGGCGGTGCCTCCGATTTCCTGACTTAGCAGTTCTGGGAAAGTGAGTGGTGCAAGTGTCACTAAGTAGCACTGCCGTTTTTTATCACAGTTGCTCCGATGTCCCGATATCACCTCAATGAGGGTGTTTTGACATCCTGGGTATATGGTTACTTTGCGGGGATAGCCTCATCTGATACCCGTGAGGAAGATCCCGCTTCTTAGGTCCGAAATCAGGATCGTTACTTGGATTGCCAAGTATGGAATACCACGCATCCTTTACAACTCGCATGCGGTGTCCAGAGTCTTGAAGTTCATTTTGTTGAAGGGCTGGGACAGCTTTTCCGACTGCTGGTTACATCCCACCCCTCTTGGTGAGCGCATACTACGTCTGTAGATTTCTGCGCCACCTGTTCTTTGAATTCAGTACAGTGCAATAGGCGCGACCTACGGTCTCCAAGCCTGCGGAATGAAAATGAAATATATACATGTATATATATATATATATATACACATACATATATATATATATATATATACATATCTATACATATCTGTTTATTTATACGATATGTATATAGTATAGGACTATAGTATAGGTACCTATTTAGAAGCACCCAAAGGAGGTCCCGTAGCCATCAGGCCCCTGGGGGCTTCGGCACTCTTTTCCCGTCATCGGCAACGCCAAAGGGACCACGTTCCACTGGGGTCCTCCGGGCTTGAGCTTTTAATGGATTTACAAGGTTTAGGGGGTTTGGGACTTTTTATAAATGGGTTCATAAGGCTTAGGGTTTTTGGGGTTCTTAGGGTTTTAGGGTGAAGGGTTTAGGGTTTTTAGGGTTTTGGGGTGTAGGGTTTAGGATTTAGCAATTTAAGGTGTATACGAAATTGAAAGGGTTTTTCTGAAGGCTTTACACGGGTGTATTATTGAGGGCTAGGACTGTTGAAAGGAGGTGCAACGGTTTAGGGGGCATAAGGGCGTAATCCGGCCTTTAGGGCTTCGGCGGGATGGTGAGGGAGTTTAGGTATTCGGGAGTTTCAGGGTGCCGGAGAGCCTTCGATTTAACTTTTGGAGGGCTTACGAAATGTAAATCTCACCTTGGGCTTGGTCCTGAAAGTTTTGGGGTTGACCACTTGGGCATGGATCCTGACCCTGAACTTATTCTGACAATACCGCAACCCCTGCCTTAGCTCCCAGCTAACCCTAAACTCTAGGCCCCAAGTGACTCCCTCTCCTCCGAAGTACGCACGTTGATTAGGTTTTCCGGCGAAGGGACGACGGCGACGGAGGGCGTTGGTTACGGAATGAGCCGTCCTGAACCGCCAGACTTGGGGTTAATAATGTATTACACATTAACTTATGATTGCATAGGCACTATATCTAATTCTTGTGGCTGATAATTGGGACCTTTTTATTACTCTTTCTGCTTGTGCTGCAGACGGCCCAAACAACTATGTAATGCCAAGAAAATTTCAAACGTTGAAGAGCAAATGAAGCAAGTGCCTTTGTATAGAAACTCAGTGCAGCAGAGGCACGTGCGCCGCCAGCACATCGAAGAGGTTGCAGCTCCAGTGACGTACGAGTAGGACCTGTGCTTCTTCACGGCTCACCGGGTTTCTCCTGCAGCTTTCGCACCACACCGTCCGCAGCGTCCCGGATCAAGTATTCGTACCTGGCTCACTGCAAGAAACACTGAATCTCCACGGAATCTTTTCAGCACCCCTGCCTGGCCGTATGTGGAGGGTAGGGGTCACGCACATCCAAGTTCGGCTCGTAAAAGAATGGCCTGGGTTCTGTTTAAGGAAACTGAAGTTATCATCTGCGCGCTTGTGTACGTATGCATGGGCTTATGACAGGAAAGCTCATTTACTATTTCTCTTGACCTCGATCGTCTTGTGAAATAAATTCCTGAACAACCACCCAGAGGCATAGAGTAGCGATCAGTGGTGCCAGTGATCGGCACGACTCTGTGCAGGGTGGCCTGACACATGATCATGTAGAAGAATTGGTCAAGAAGGGGGCCCGAGTATGCTGCAAGTTTCAAGGTATGAGGTTTTGGTTTTAGGGCGCGCTTTGCTTTGGGCTTGCTTCGAAACTGCTGGACCTGTGACCTGTCCTTAGGGTCGTGGAATCTGCTTTCTTTACGGAATGCTAAACCCTCTATGGTTGATGATATAAATCCTGCATTACCTTGAGGACCCTCAACTATGGGAATTATGGTATATTCCTTATTATGGGTAATGCAGGGCTTATATCATCAACCGTAGTTTCTGCCGGCTCCTTGCATGGGCGACAGAGAGACGACTGGCTCGAAGATTGCGCAGCCCAGCGGAACAGATCTGTACCCAGGTTGACGATCCAGTGCCCTTTCAGGGATTTCGGGTCTAAGGGAAGAAGACTTTACGTATTTAAACCTGGGATTCTGGGTTTAAGGGTTGTACGGTTCAGGCTAGGCTAGGGCTTAAGGTTTTCGGAGTTCTGTTTTAAGGCTTGGGCTGAACGCTCCGGGGTTCAGCCTGGCAGGAAGGGAACAGGCTCCCAAATCACCGCATCTGAGAACTGAAGATCTGCTCTGCCTGAGCCAGCGTTCAGCTTGCTTTCTGGAGCGATTTACTTTAGGGTTTACAGGGCTTAGGATTTTGGTTTAGGAGTTAGGGGTTAGGGTTTAGGGTTTAGAGAGCTTTAGAGCCGTTTAGAGAGCTTTAAAGACATTTAAGATGAAGTGTGGCACGCCTGAACAGGGTTTAGTAAATCATGCCCTGAGTTAAGTAATTGGTACGGAGCTGTGCTTGATCTGCTGGACCTCGCAATGATTTCGGAGCTCGACTTTTCTTCACTCGCAACTCAGTACTTTGAGGAATACCGGGAGTCGACTTTGGGGTGTGCCTCAACAACCAGTATTGAACATTGGTACTGTTCTTATGTGCACGTCTTGTTCCGCCTGCTCCTGAAGGTATCCAAAGCTCATATGCCACGCTGCAGCTACCCAAAACCCTAAAAGGTGTCCCCAGGTTTAGGATAAAAGGTCAACGGTTGCGGGTTTGGGGGTTTAGAGTTTGGGGGTTTTGGACCTGAATCCCGTCTCTGAACCGCGGGGGCCCTGGCAGCAAAGAGCCCCAAAGGGAACTCCATGGGGCGGGCACACATAGACTAACCCCCCGGAGCAGTTCGAAAAAGCTTAAACCCTAAACCCTCAACCCTAAACTCTAAGCCCAAACTCTACATCCGAAAGCCCAAAAGGCACCCCGAGCCAAACCAGCTCCTCCCTCCTGGCCGAAAAGAAGTTTAGATCCTGCGAAAGGCGGGGCACAGTGCGTTCCGGAGTAGAGCGACATGTCCGACGCGGCCTCCTTGGAAAGCACCCTAAACCCTAAACCTTAGGCGAGCGAGGATTGGGCTGCCCTTTCTGCAAAACGATGTGGACATTTGTATACGTACATATGGGTGGTTGACGAAATTAGGGTCCCTTCTTGGGTCCTTAATGTAACACGGCACCTCATATTCAGGGTACCCATAAAGGGACCATATTTTTGATAACCACCCATATGTATATCTAACATCAGATACATACATGAATACATACCAGCTATACATACATAAATACATCCCTACATACATACATACATACATACGTACATACACGCATATCTGTAGGTTCATACATTCTCAGGTGTAGGGACACCCTGCTACAGTTGTAGGGCAGTCGACCTCCAAAGCGAAAGGTGCAACACACGCCATACACCAACCCCAGATTTTTTCCTAAGGCTCCCCGTATCTTCTGGTTTTTACTTATAAGCCTTATAAGACCTTTAGAGGCCTCAGTATCTACTATGTTGGTACTTGCATGAAGCCGAAGGGGTCCCGGAGTAGCTCGAACAGCGACCCGTTTGGACACAACCCTCTGAAAAGCCGGTTCTCAAAGCCAAAGCCGTGTGGAAACCCTATAACAATGAAACATGCGACATAAACACAGCATCATTATCTTGTTCTTGAAACAAAAACAACAGAATCCGTTAACCACTTAAACGACGTTAAGAGTTCAAATGAGGAACCGGATGAAACCGATTTAAAACTTGACGAGACAGAAGTATCCAACAGTTAGCTCATCAAGCGAAACAAGCAGAAGGTATCTTCGATACGTCGCTGGCTGATAGAGCGAAGCAAGCAAATCATATACTTTAACTCAGACTTCAAGGAAACCTATTCTAGCTCGTATACTCCTCAAAGATACACAACACGAAAAACCCTTAAACCCTAAACCCCTGACTGACCCTAAACCCCCCAGACCTTCCAAAATCCCTTAATTAAGGAATATCCCTGAAGTCATATTATAATCCTTAATATGAATTAAAGTATATTCCTTAATTAAGGGATTTTGGAAGGTCTGGGCCCTAAACCCCGAAACCCTAAACCTGAGTGCGGCCCGAGCTGCCGAAGTGCCGGACCGAAGCCCCTTGGCGAACTCGAGGCCTCTGCCGGGTCGGGGGGCTTAGGGTTCTGGGCTTAGGGGGTTAGGCTAGTTCATGGTTGGGATAGGATTAAAAAGTTACACTTTAATTCCTTGTTGGGTTTCAGTACCCAAAAAAAGCATAAAATGTTACCCAACCTTGACAAAGTGGGGGTTAGGGCCCTCGAAAGGCTTAGGATGTAGGGGTTTAGGATGGATTAAGACTTAGGGTTCAGGGCCTGGGGGGGTTGGGGCCATCAGGCCCTGAAGATTGAAACTGTCTGTGTCACGCCCCAGAAGCTTTAAGATCATTGATTTGTACTCTTGTTCCGCGCCACCAAATCGACGCCCACCCCTGCCACGTCCCAAAAGCGAAGTTTAACCCTTCAACCCAGGGCTTAGGGTTTAGGGTTCAACCCGGGGCTTCTGGCCCTAAAACAACATGAAGGAGCCCAGCCTGAGTAGTAGTTATAAACCCGAAACCCCAATACCGCAAACTCCAATCCTAATATATCCTAATGCTCCTCAGCCATAAATCCCTAAACCCTAAACCAAACCGAACTCAGAGAGCACTGTGCCGCAAGTGGGCCTCCTTGTCCATCCTGGTCAGGTGGTGAGGTTTAGGGCTTTGAGGGCTTAGGGTTTAGGGCCTGTGGTTTGTGGTTGAGGTTCATGGGTTTCAGGATTTTCGCGGGCTTTGAAGGGGTTGAGGGCTGCTAGGGTTTATGGCTTAGGATTTCGGTGGTCAAGGACGTGGAGGTTTGAGTTCAGGAGTTTACGGAATTTAGTACTGTTCAAGGCTGGTGCCGCTGCCAAAATGGTGGTGGGTGGTGGTGGTGGAGGTGGTGGTGGTGGCGGTGGTGATGGTGGTCGCGCCACGGCTGCTCGGCTGCGGCTACGGCTACGACTACGACGGCGACGAAAATGGAGGTCTGCAAAGTTCTCCGAACTCTACCCACTAAACCCTCGATCCTGAATCCTAAGCCCTGGACCCCGAAGCCCTAACACCTTGTTGCTCTAACCCTATCTGCTATGCATCCTGGCAGCCGTGTAGAGCAAGGTGCACAATCCATCATCTTGATGTGGGCGGATACCAAAAGCTCGCCTGAGAGGCTTGGGATTTAGGGTGCAGTCGTGTCCAAGATTGAAGTGTAATGAACCCTGTGCATACACCCACTGAGAAGTCAGCTTGAAAATACGATTGTGGACCCATCCCTCTTGCGATAACTTATTAGTCTAGGATCCTTCACAACAGGCCGAAAAGGGCTTTCTTGCGAGATGCTGCTGTGTCTCCTCTGATCCAGAATATCCTTCTGCCGGGCGAAACCTCGCATATGCAAGTTGCGAGCAAAGGCGCCTATGATACGGGGTTTAGGGTTTATGGGGTTTGGAGTTTAGGTTTTGAGGCTTACGGTCTAGGATTACAGCGTTGGGAGTGTAGGGTTTAGGAAGCTTACGGTGCAGGGTGTCGGGGTTCAGGACATAGCATCCCCCAAAGCGCAAAATCGTAAGAACTAGCTTTAAAGAGCAGGGGGTAATACCACTACTGCTGGTAACAATTATCATGGTGATAACATTAACCCCACGAACAATGGCACTAATAAAAAGAAGAAGAGCAGCTATTATGACTATGACCCAAAGAGCTAGGTAGTATAGAATAACTATTAAGTTTGATTAGTACTATATGCACTACTAAGTCACCCCCAAAGAGCTAGGAGCAGTATAGAAAATTTTTAGGTAGATTTCATGCAACTTTTTACTGCTAAGTCACCCCAAAGAGCTGGGAGCAGTATAGAATACTATTAAACCCTTAACCCATAACACTCATAGCCATAACTCAAAATAACCAATAAGAATAACAAAATTAGGAGTGCATTCCCTAAACCCTAAACCCTACACCCAACTACGGTTGATGATATCAATCCTGCATTACCCATAATAAGGAATATACCATAAATCCCATAAGTTAGGGTCCTTCAGGTAATGCAGGATCTATATCATCAACAGTAAGTCACCCCAAAGAGCTGGGAGTCGTATAGAATAACTATTAAGTTCAATTAGTACTATATATATATACATATATATATATATATACTACTAAGTCACCCCCAAAGAGCTAACAAGAATAAGAAGGCCAAAGAGCTGCGAGTAGTTGTAGTGCGTGAAGCCCAGTAGGCTCGTGGAGCGCTCGAAGGCCGCATCCGACGCCACGCCGTCCCGCAAGAAAGGGCCGAGGCCTAATTCGAAGGCGAAGAGGAGGGACCGTTAATGGGGACCTCTAGCCTATAATGGGCTATATAATGGGTATATTAAGGGTATATATGTAGGGTTCGCTTTTAAGGTTTAGGGTGTAGGGTTCAGGGTTGTAGGATCTGGGGTTTTGGGATTGGGGGGCTCAGGGCTTGTGTAGGGTTCGTTTTGAAGGTTTACCCTGAGGCCCCATAGTATTATTTAGAACCTTGTTAGGTACTCCCAAAAAGGAACTACTGCGGGGCCTATGGGTATATGCTACATGGGGACCTGGACGCTTGAACCCTGAGATCCTAAACACTACACCCTTAAACCTATAATATGGATCCCTTCAGGGTTGTAGGATTTAGGGTTTTGGGATTAATGGGTTTAGGGCGTTAGGGTTTAGGGTTTATAAGGTTTATGGGGATTATACAAGGGTTGTAGGGATTAGGGATTAGGTTTTAGGTTTAAGTTTTTCGGATGTAGGATTTTAAGGTTTGGGGTGTATATAGGGCTTCGGGGATTTCGGGTTCAGGGTTTAGGGCTTAAGGGTTTCAGGATTTGCGGTTTAGGTTTTTGCAAAGTTTAGGGATTAGGGTTTAGGGCTTAGGATGGTTTTGGTGGTAGGGGCTTTAGGGTTTAGGGTTTTGGGATGAGGAGTTTAGTGGTTTAAGGGTAGAGAGGTTTAGAATTAAAAAAGCCTTTCACCCGGGGTCTACATGCCTTCCTGGGCTTTACTGGACGGGTTTTGGAAGACCCCTGCAAGATCAAGATGCCGGTACTTCTTGCATGGGTATGAGGAGGAAGTACTCCTAGTCAACAGCTGTTGCCATATGCAGCTGAAGACCTACTTGAAGCCTGAATCGTGTGCATTTGTAACTTGTAGCTTCCCATGACCTTTCAAGCATGAGTATGATCGAGGTTCTGTGCTTTACATCCAGATGCGCATTACGAGTACATACAAAACCTCAAGCATCCATGTTCCTAACTAGCAGAAGCACAGGCCATAAAGCCTTCACGAACTGTTCTGAAGAGCAACGACAAAGACTGTACCATACTATGCACGTACATGGAGGTTTCATGGAAACCTGCAGAAGTCAGACAGGCCCTTTGGTTGGTGAAGATAAAGATAGTTTAGGATTTACGAGGTTCGGGAGTTTAAACCCCTCAACTCCCAACACACCTATAAACCCTAAACCCCCCTAAACACCTTTAAACCCTAAACCCCGAAACCCCTAGATCTCTTAACCCCAAGCTTTACAAGGATGCGTGCACAATTCGCGGACAACTAGGCTGAGTTCATAAGCCCCTCCAAAAGTCTACCCTTTCAGTGTTATAGTGGTTAACATTACCCCAAAAGTGTAGATAAAGTGTATCCACTCAGCTACCCCTAAACCCTTAACCCTATAAACCCTATAAACCCTTAACCCTAAACCTTATAAACCCTATAAACCCTATAATTATAAACCCTTAACCCTAAACCCTATAAACCCTATAAACCCTATAAACATTATAAACCCTAAACCCTATAAACCCTATAAGCCCCCCTTCACCGGACAAGGGCGCAGCTGGGATCCTCCAGCTTCTTCCGCAGGACCCGGCAAGTCGCCAGGCACTGGCCAAAATACCTGGGAATTTTACGGTTTGTGATTTTTTTCGAGCTCCTTTTTATGTCTGTCTATTATATTAGGGTTCATGGTTTTGGGATTTACGGTTTAGGGTTTAGGGGTTTTGGGGGTTTCGGGTTCAGGGTGGTTTGGGGTTGTAGGGTTTAGTTTTTTAGGCGTTTGGGGGTTTAGGGTATTCGGGTTTGAAGTTAGCTGGCAGTTCTGACCTTGATGATGAGAATGGAGTTGGGTGGGGGGGGGGGGGGGGTACAATACAAACATGACAAAAAATGAATAGTTGTAATCACTCAGATGCCCCTGTACTAAGAAGTCCCGTGTTGCAGGTGCCGTTCAGTTTAGTTAAGTCTACAGAGTTGCACTTGGAAAGAAGCAAACAACGTACCCTCATACCCGAGCCCTTGGATCAGAACCACTCATATCAAAGAAAGTACCGTAAACCCTACAGTGTAAGACCTAAAACCCTAATAAAAGCCTAAACCCAAACCTTAAACCCCGAAAGCTAAAACCCTAAAGCCTAAAGCCACATGCCACACCTGAAGACCCTAAACCGGACAGCCCTTAAGCCCTACTCCTAAACCCGAAACCCTTAACCCTACAGCCCTTGGCCTTAAACCCTGAGCCCTACAGCTTGTTAAAACCCGGGCACTCCGACGACTGCAGCCGAAATGTTTCACACCAGCTTTCTCTGGCGCTTGGGGTTGTCCTCGGGCTGCGTCTTTTTGAGGCGCTCCAGGCTTTGTTTGTTGCTTTGGGGCTTCGGGTAGGGGATTTAGGGTTTGACGAATTGACATTCAACACATGGTCGACCGTCCACTGGCTCCAACAGCATTCATTGTTACCGTTTGTAGCGGCCCCTGAAATTCTTGATGCAGAGAACAGTATCTGGGCCGATTACCCCCTTGATCCAGAATACAGAAGCATGAGCATGTACCAATACTAGTGCCGAGGCTTCCTACTATAATGGTACACACTATGATATACCTGCTGGCGTACTACTGTAGTTCTGCAATGCCAAACCTTTGAGCTGTCCGGGTTCCGAGAAGGCCGGTAGTATTCGGTAGTGGGAACATTTCGCCACATCAAGGCCCATACACTAAAACCGCGGAATAGTGACCCTTGTAGAACCCTTACCAAGAAACCTCCGAAGGAACCCCTAAACCCTAAACCCTAAACCCTAAACCCTAAACCCTATTCAGGACAGCTTTCTGAAAGCTCCAAGTCCTCAAACCCCAAAAACCCTGAATACGGCCCCTTCTGAACTTCAAAGGAAAGTCGAGACCCCCCAAAAACCTGGTCCTTGTGTCGGGCCATGGATTCCCTCCCATGCCGCAGGTCTCGATGGAGACTTCGAGGATCCTCATCCAGATCTTCCCGTGTCTCTTCATTGAGGAATATGCCGTAAATAATAGGTGCCGTATTATAACAAGGACCCAAAAAGGGACCCCAATTTTGACAACCACCCATATGGGAGTTTCCGAAAAATTGCGGTTCCCGTATTTGGGGTCCTTATAGTAAGGATGCTCATCCAGATCTTCCAGTGTCTCTTCAGTGAGGAATAATGTAGGAACCTGATTAAGAAACCTTGGGCCTTTGTTAGGGTTCCTTATATGCATCTTCTTCATTGAGGAATATACCATCTGATTACCATTAGGGTTTACGGTTTATTGAGGGATATACAGCATCGCTGATATGATTGGAATAGCATACTTTTCCAGATCTTCGAAGGTCTCTTCATTGAGGAATAATGCAGGAACCTGATTGAGAAACCTTGGGCCGTTTTTAGGGTTCCTTTTGTGAATCTTCTTCATTGAGGAATATACCATCTGATTACCATTTGGGTTTATTGAGGAATGTACCCTCTGGGTAGCATCGCTGATATGATTGGAATCGCATACTGTTCCAGATCTTCCAAGGTCTCTTCATTGAGGAATATACCACCTGGTAGTGTCGCTGGTATGGCTGCCAGAGAATATGTCTCACATGTGCCATGCTCCTGCGACTAATACAGGCCTCGGATTACGAGCAGAAATGTGGTCTTCCAATCCCAATATACTTGCAGCATGACAGGCTAAAGCACGAAAGAGCACGTATATTGAAATGATAAAATTTCGGACTCATCCTGTGTCTTGCTAAGCCGTCTGCAGCTGTTGTTGCTGCCGCAGCCCATTCTGGCTGCTGCTGTTGCTTTGCTGCTGCTAAACCGAAACCATAATATTGTGCGCCTGCTCGGTTCATGAAAGGTACTACTTCTGCTGCGGCTGCTGCAAAGTCCTCAGAAGGCTCACTGAACAGAAACCGAAAACCAACAGTCTGAGTTTCCTCCCCCTGCACCTGAAAACTGACTGCTTCTTGCACCGATTCCACCCCTCCTCTATGCCGAGAAGCTCAGACGGTGCCCCGAGGTTGAACGATTCCTTGAAAAGATTCGTTTTCCCTATGGCTCCAAGTGCCAATAATGTATCATTTACCTTCAAGGACCCATCATATAGGAACCCCTTTGAGGCCAAAGAATTACTATATAGGTACATGGGGCCTTAGAGTTTGGCGGCTCAGGGATTTAAGGTTTGGGGCTCACGACCAGGCTGTTTAAAGGGTCCTTATTTTTGGAATTTTTGGAGGGTTTGGCATCTAGGTATAGTAGAAGGCCGGGTTTCTATAGTAGGAAATGCTACTATGAGTTGGGTAAGTACCCCTCATATTGAGGTACTTAGGACCCTTTGGGAGGCTCAAAACACTCGGGCTGAGATTGCTTTATGCTCCACGAGCTTCAAGTTGAAGATTCCTCTAGCAAGCGATCGAGGTTTAGGCTTTTGGCCAGATCTTGAGATTTCGCCCGAGAAACTACCACAAAGACCTAGTGCTTCACAACTGAAGCCAACTAAGGAGAGGGAGCAGGTCGGGTGTGGAGTGCAGCCAGTTTCTCTCTGCGTACACATGCTAAGAGGGCTGCCTCTCTCCACCCCTCCGCAACAATAGGACTCCCGACGCCTGCCTGATCACACCAGGAGGGTGTGATGCCCTAGTAGGTATATAGGGACGATCAGGGGCCAGAGACGCCCATGGTTGAGACCACCTTTACTCGGGAAATCAAGCCTCCTTGCGATGAAAGAAGCCCTAGTCGGATCACAAATGCTGCTTGTCAACCCGAAATCAATCAACCCTTAACCCTCAAACCTAAGCCCTTCACCCTTACCCCGAAACCCGCACATCCCTAACCCTTAACCCTAAGCCCTTCACCCTAACCCCGAAACACGTACATAAACCCTCGCAGGCCCCTGCGGTTGGAAGCCTAAGCTTCAGCGAACATCGGATTCCTGCAATTTATAAGGGCCTCTGATTCCACCCCCTTTAAATACGCAAGGGCAGCGCCACTATGATGGTCACGACATGTCAGTGTATACCGATTTAGAGTGTAGAGTTTAGGGTTTAGGGCTTGCTTGAGCATACTCCCTTATTCCTGAAACCCCGCGAGCCTACACCCCGCAAACAAAACCGTAAGCCGTCGCGATAAGCATCCCAGAAGAAGACATCGTCGTCTACTTGATTAAGCTATAGATTTATTTACTAAACCCAAGAGTAGCCTAGGAATAGAAAGGGTGCTCTTTTTGGGGGCTTATAATATGGGAACCTGAACCCTAAAAAAGAGGGAATAAGGGCTTACTCTGGGTCCTAGTTTAGGGATGAAGGTTCAAACTTTTAAGCCTTCGGGTTTGGGGGTTGTAGGGTGTTTGAGGTCTATCTGTCGTCTGTCGAGGTCCATGAGGCGTTTCCATAAGCACATCTATGCCGACAAGGCTCGCGCATGTCACCCGAAAAGTTGGCATCCTGGCTGACGCCCCGATAACCTGAACAAGGATACTTGGAGGTTCATGGGTAGTTATAAGTGGGGCTATAAGTCCCGTAATAAAGGTTATAAGTATACCTACCTTACTTATATCCCCACTTATAACTACCCATGAACCTCCAAGAAGGATAGGGACCTTTCTGAGGCTGTGGGGATGTATTATGGGAAACACCACCCTAAAGCCGATAATTATGACAAACAGCCCTCGTCCCTAACGACTGGTTCTGCAAATGTTGGCAGGCTTCTATACTTCAAGGATCATAGGGCTCCTTAAAGGGATTATAGGGTTCCTTAAACGGATCTATGGGGTTTAGGGTTTAGGGTCTACTTAGAGGATCATGGGACTTAGTAAGTAGGTTATAATTGGGGTTATAAGTCCCCTAAGTAGTGTTCCCCTAATTATAACCTACTTATAACCTTACTTACTAAGTCCCGTGAGCCTTCAAGTATTGCACCTCAAGCCCGGACTGCAGCTCTCTCTCAAATGCGCCTTAACTTAACCCAACACATTCTGAGAGACTCCAATATCCCTTAATTAAGGAATATTCCTTAAATTATGGTAGGATCCCTAATATGATTTAAGCAATATTCCTTAATTAAAGGATATTGGAGTCCCTGGGTTATTATTTATTCCATATGATGGCAGTATACCTTTCGTCACTCGGTTTCTTCTGCCGCTGCTGCAGGCTGCTATCGAGTTTCAAAAGCAGCAAACTGCAAGACGTCATAACTGCCAGCCGTTTTTCCCAATGCTGATTGCCGGTCTGGCATGCAGAATCCAAACCATTTCCTACGGGCTGGATGAGAGTTTAGGGCTGAAGCCCGCAGCCGTCATCAAAAGGTCTAAACACACCGGGCACGAACACGACTTTCGCAAAACGCCCTAAACCCTATAGAACCTTGCACCACAAACTTCGAATCTTCGCCACTCTGCGGCCCGCCTGATCCTGTCGACGGTATTGATGCTGTGGCGCCGCTCTCTGCGTCCTGGTACGGTTTAGGGACTAGGGTTTAGGGTTCAAGGTTTAGGGTTCTGTTCGGGTTTCTTGCTTTAGGGCTTGGCGGCTTCGATTTTTCAGGTTTCGGGTGTTACTCACGGCTGAGGGCCTAAGACGCCGTGCAACAAGATCACGTCGCAATCCAAACAGCACTCCAGACGACGCTGTTGAACTCAAAGATGCACTTCCTTTGATGATACTCTCTCCGATGGTAATATAGGGGGCCCTAATAGCTAGAATAGGGTTTTGGGGGTATATTATACTATATTTTTAAAAAAGGAATCCACAAAATCGTATTATTTAGGCCCCTGTATTACAGTCGAAACCTCACTGGTGTCTTCCATACCCGGCCTTTACCCAGTACCACAATGCCTCCGCGTTGTCCAGCATCTGCTTTTCCTTGGCCGGCGAGCAAACATGTTGTTTGGGGTTTAGGGTCTTTAGGGTTTTGGTTTTAGGGTTCAAGGGTTTAGGGTCCAAATCCAAGAACGGGTGCTCTGGAACCGGTATCTTGCATTGCGCAAAGAAATCGAATTTGGAACGTTCAGCACGTAGCGGGTTTCCAACCTTCACATCCATTCTGGAACAGCAACACATCGAACAACTAGAAGCTCAACAAAAGTCCGATACTAAACCCGCAGATGTGAAAGTTTACATCACAATGAACATCGTTAATGCGGGGGACAGAGGCGAAGTTCTTTCTCAGAAACCAGATCTACATGCGCGCTTCTACGAGCGCTGGCCCAGTCTCCACGACGGCCTTGTTTAGTTACTGCCTAAATCCCAAACCCTAAATCAGATCGTGATCCTCGGAAAAGCCTACACTTGGCGCGCCTGCAAGACTATATGACGTTATCCAGCAGGAGCAGCACCACATCATCACCACCACCGCCCGCCGGCACTACCACCATCGCTGCTTCCACTGCCGTCACAACCAGCATGACCAGCCCCAACACCAGCACCATGACTGCGTGATCTTCACCTCCGACCTCCCAAAAAGTCCAACCCTAAACCCCTCAAGCAAACGAACCTTGAACCCTGAAGCCCTATAATCCTAAAGCCTAAAGCCCTGAAGCCCTAAACCCTGAAGGATCAAGTCTCTGCGGGTGGGAGTGCAAAGAACTCTCTGGAACGCTGCAGCACATCCTCCGCCAACTGCACGAGATCCTCCAAGGGTTTGCTGTTGAGGGGTTTGGGGTTTAGAGGTTATAACGGTGTAGGTTGCAGGGTCTAGTGGGCATATGTCGCCTTCGGAACTGCTAATATCTAAGGTCGCAAACATGACTCCCTGCTTACACCGTTGTGAAGTATAGGTGCAAACGGTACCACAAGTGTTCGAACAACCCTAAACCCTAAACCTAAACCCTAAACCCTATAAACCCTGAACCATAAGGCTCCAAGGACGCGGATTTTCAGGCGTGAGGGCTCCGGGATGCTCAAAGGAGCAGGCCGAACAAAAAGGCCCAACCCTTATAGACTCCCCAGAGACTCCAATATCCCTTAAGGAATATAAGGAATATACCTTAAATTATAGAAGGATCCATAACATGATTTCTGGTATATTCGGAATTCGGAATATACCAGAAATCATACTAGGGAGCAAACTATGTTTTAAGGTATATTCCTTATTTAAGGGATATTAGAGTCTCTGGGTCCTTAGCCCCCACCAAAACCCCGGAAAGCACAACACGCCGAACCCCTAAACCCAAACCCTTAACGCCAAACCCTCGACCCCCTAACCATCCGCACACCACACATCTTAAACCGCTCTGCACAAACCCGTGTAGAACATTTTCAAGCCCCATGGAAACCGTTTGGTACCCCATCAACCCAATCAACATACCATAAATTATGATATTGGAGCTCCTATTGTAATGCAAGGTATATTCAATAAGCGAAGGGGTTCTGGACCTGGGGGACACCTAAACAACACACCTTTTGAAGGAATGAGATTATCCCTAAGCCTCCAAAGAGCCCAAAGTAAGCAGTATTCATAGACTTTAGACCCCGAAGTAGGTACTATTTGTAGACTTGGAGTCTTAGGGTATAAAGAAGTCCGAAAAAAGAACGCTCGAAAGGTAGGCGCTCCGGGAACCAGGTAAACCCTCAACCCTACAAACCCTCAACCCGGCACAGACCCTAAATCTCTATAACTAAACCCTTATAAGCTCCTATCAACCATGAACCCTAGACCATCAGACACCCTCCAAGCCCTAAAAAAAAGCCTATCTATGCGTAGAAGCCCCACAAGCCCCCATGAACCCAATCTCCTGGCTTGGGATCTTCAAGTAGAAGAAGCCGGGACCATCCGGTGCCACTGCCTCTGCCAGCGTCTGCAAATGATCCTCAGCTCGAAAATGTCAAACTTAGGTTATAGGGCTGGAGGTTATATTGTGTTCTCAGCAGTTCTTTACAGGGCTTTGTCGGATTATAGAGACGGGAGTTTTACGGGGAATTCAGCGATTTGACTCCAAAGGTGTGTATCGTAATGTATGGGGCAGGCTGTACGTTTCTCATCCAGGGTTTACACGATCCGGGTCGGGGAGTTTGATGCTTCAGCGCTCTGCCTGCCTTTTCGTGCACGCCGCCCAGCTTCCGGAAACAGTCTGTGCTTGTAAACAGGCAGGTGCATCACTGTTCGGGAGCTAGATTTGAATCACCATAATAATGTTGAAGCAAGCAATTTACAATGCATCTCCCCATTATGGCACGTAGCCAAAAGCTTCCCTTCTAGATTGCAGTTGCTTTTTTGGCTTTACCAGCTGCGCGTGTAGGATCCTGGTAATCAAGACGGCAACAAAGAATAAAAGGAATGTAGACAATACGGTTGATATAAATCCTGCATTACCCATAATGCGGAATATACCATAATTCCCATAAGTTAGGGTCCTTACGGTAATGCAGGATTTATATATCATCAACAGTAGGTACTGCCCAAGGCCCAACACTCAAACCCTCTACCACTAAACTCTGAGCCCGACAGCCCTAAACCTGCAACCCGAAACATAGACCCCGAAGCCTCAACCCTCTTAGACCCTATAAGAACCCTTATATAAGGGAACCCTTTCAAGAATGCTGCATCGAAGCCTTTAAGGGAACCCTGAAAGCCTAAATCATAGGGACGCTGCCAGGGGTAGGGGGAAGGGGGTTTGGGGACTATACATCTTAAATAAGCCCTATTAAGTCCTTATTAGAGGCAGTAAGCCCCCCTAAGGGTCCCCATGACTAAAGCTTCAAAGCCCAGAGTCAGGGTCGTTCAAGTCCACCACGGGCAGGGAGGGCTGCGGACCAGAAGCCATGTTGCCATGGGGCTTTCAAGCGGAGCTTTCGGGATCCTCTAGACGTCGATAATTAGGGTTTCTATCAGTTTCTATACGAGGTTTATTACGGGTTTAGGCTTCGCGGCTTTCGGACTTGGTTGTTTTGGGTTTTAGGGTTCAGGGCTTAAGCTTTTCTGCTTTGAGATTTTAGCGTTTTGGGGCTCCGTGTTGGGGCTAGGGTTCAGGTCTTGGGTGTTCTCCCTGCTTAGTTGGGATACGGTTTGGTTATAGGGTTGGTTGCGGTTACCTGTAGCCTCAAACGCGGCGAAGTCATAGGGTGTAATAATCACAAACCACAAGTTCGTGAGATCCGCAGGTACCCGTTTATGTGAAGTCGTCCGTGAAGCAACCTCTGTCCTAGACCAGTACGAGGATTGCGTGTGCGCGACACACTTGCAACCGGAGCCAGTGCAACGAGAATTAGAATAGGGTTTGTAAGCGTGTAACACGCTGCAATAACATTCTGCAGGGACTGTAAACAGACAGTGTGCTTTGCTACAGACTCGTCCATCACGACTGCTACCAGCCGAAGCTCCAAGCAAACAGAGAAAGCAACCGGCTCCTCTTGAATCCTAAACCCTGAACCCTCAGTGTCGTAATTAACATCAGTTTTCGGCCAGAAAAACAGAAACTCTGGCTGTGGGAACTTCGACAAAGCCCCGAAGTCTTGAACAAAGACACCCAGAGGCTCCAAAGCCCCTGCAACAAGGAGTACCTCAAACTCCCAGAACCTGCAAAACTCCCATAACCTGCATTTTGTAGGTTCTTATCACAAACCCGAAGAAAGCATCGAACAAACTTTAAACTTTGCAAAAGAAACATGGTGGCGCAGCTCAAGGTATGCCTTAATCCGGTCTTAAACCCATCTGCTCCTTATCAACATGATTTAAGGCAAACTCCTTACTTACCCAACGGACAGTGAAGTCTCTGCGTAACCGGAGGTTCGCAGTTCTGCCCTGTGACTTCCAAGTGGTCCTAAGTAATTCCCTACACGGTGAAAGGGTTTAGGGTTTAGGGCTTGCCCAAACCATGATATCCGGAATTTCGATTACCGAAAGCATACATTCTACCATATAATATAGGTACTCATGAGCTTGCAATCGAGGCCCGATCAAAACACCATACATCTCAACGTTAAAGCAACAACCTTGCCTCCTACACACTACCGTCTCGATTGTAGTACCTTTTCTGATGTGACCCACTTTCTGTTTAGGATCCAATAAGGTGACCCCAGAAAAAGAACCTCAACGGAGACCGGGTACCATCTCCTTCCGCTATGGATTCGAGTCTTCCCCTGCACCCAAAACCCTGACGTAGAAGCCTGGATGTCTAGCAAGACTGTTTATTCCTTAATTCAGGTTCCAGGTTCCTTCTTAGAACTATAGTATCCTAGAATCCAAAACCCTGTTCTAATGATTAAAGCTCCTGGTTTGGACCCTAAACTGAACCCTAAACCCTAAAACCCTAAACCCTAAACCCTAAACCCTAAGACCCTAAGACCCTAAACCCTATAAATCCTAGACCCTAAACCCTGAACCCTAAATCCTAAACCCCCAGTCTTCTAGGCCCAGAAGATGCCTGCTTACCATGGATGTGATGGTCGTCGCTGGCGGTGAAGGCTCCAGGCACGGCAAAGCCTGCGGCCTCTTGCATGAGAGAGGAGAGGGGGAGGGGGTTTAGGGTTCAGGGTTTGGGGCTTAGGGTTGAGGGTTTAGGGTTTAGAGAGTGTGAGGGCTTCAACAATAGGCGTACCCTTGTTCCTTCAACCCAAAACTCCAAACAACGCCAGAGATGGGTCTTGGCTTTCTCTGTCTTGGTTGTCGAAGTCCCGCTTGTTGTTGAAGGCTCTCAGGAAATTCACAGTGGAGCAGAACTAGGTTTGTGTCTTCAAGGCGCAAACGAAACCTCAACAAATCCAGACGTTCGTCCAAACCGTTTGAGGGTTCAGGGTTTGGGGATGTAGGGGAACCTCCGAGTAATTTCCCCTTTTTTGGAGCCCCGCTGCCTATTTGGTAGGTTACTGTACTTACACAACCTGACAGTATCAGTATATCACCCTAAACCCTAAACCTGAAATCCTAATAGAAAATACAGGGTCCTCAGCAACTTGACTTGGGCTTTCGTGGGTACATCATACACTTTCGTAGGGACTACCAAGGGGTACTGCTATATCTATATATATATATATGTACACAAAGACAATCTCAAAGCCTTCAATAAATCCACCCTGGCATCCGCCGCAGAATGCATTAGCTAGATGAGCAAGAGGTGTGTGTGTGTGTGTGTGTGTGTGTGTTTGTTTTACTAGCAATGCACATCTTCCGAGGTATTCTCCGGGAGCCATGTATACACTCACCGACCAAACGACCCCATCGAAACCCCATGGCCGGTAACCATCCTCTGTCAATTTTTCTGCATCCCTACGCTACACAGTTTAAAAAAAAGCGCACCTGGGCTGATAAAGACTATACCAAGCCTCAAACAACCTTGCATCAAGCCCTTGATGAACCCTTGCAGTACGTGAAACCGCTAAAGGAACCAATAGTTAGCGTATCGTCCTTGTAACAGTCTGAAGGAAGCCTTGTTCAGGGAAGCATTTCAGCGGAATTTCTGGGGCTTCCCAGTGGCACCGTAGCCACCAGTCCAGCTGCGAAGAGCCGAGCGAGGGCGCATCTAAAGCCGAGGACGCCGATCCTCGGGTGTGAGGTGCTCTACGGCTTATAAGGTCTATAGAGTCTATAGGGTCTTTAAGGTTTAGGGTTTATAGGATCTCTATAGGGCCTCTTGGTGTTTAGGGATTTTTGCTAGGGAAAGTGAGTGTAATTTATTGCAGTAAGGATGCCATATTCTTCACCATAGATCTCTATTCTGGTAGCTTGACCGAAGTTCCTAAACAAGAGCACAGTATAGGGTTTAGGGGTCCTAGGGTTGGGCTTGTGGTTTGGGGGTTGGTAAGACTGTAGAGCTTAGGGTTCAGGGTTTCGGGTTTGCGGTTTAGGAGTGCAGGGTGTCAGTCGCGAAGGGTTGCGGAAAGCAGTAAGGTTAGTTTAGGGTTTAGGGTTTAGGGGTTTAGGGTTTAGAGTTTAGGGTTTAGGGGTTTAGGGGTTTAGGGTTTAAGGTTACATGTTCACCATAGGACCAATGAATCCTAAACCCTGCACTCTGAATCCTATCAGCTGACAAACCATAAACTCCAAACCCTCACGCTGACTCGCGCTTAAGAAGCCTAGAGCCGAAACCGTGTAATGGCGAACTCCAATTCCGAAACCCTTAACCCCCAAACCTACCTTAACCTACCAGAACCTACTTTTTTGTAGGGTCCCTATAAATCCCATATTAGGGTTTATAATAAGACCCTACAAAAAAGTAGGGTTTAGTAGGTCTAGGTATACCTTGAAATCCAGCAGAACACAATCAGGGCGCAGCGAAACCTTGGAAACGCGCTTGGCCATTGGGCTCGACCCATAAAGTCCATATGGAAAGCCGCACAAGCCTCTCACCCCATGAAATCGCTCGCAGCGTTTAGGGTTTCGAATAAATGTTATGGCTTTGGATCGAGGGGGTTATTAACCTAATTACTTGTTTGTAGGATCCCGTTACAAACCCCAACATAGAGTGAGGACACTGCAAGAAGTAGGCTGTGGTAGGTTCTCGCAGGCTTTGCCTTAACACCAAGACCCAACGCTTTAAAGACGCACATAACAAAATCATAATTCGGAGCCCCAAACAGGTAGGTGTTGGCCGAGATACTAAGGGGTTTTCAGGACCCCGAAACCTCTGATCCCAGGCCTAAACTCTTCCCCCCCGGCCCTAAACCCTAAACCCCATACACCCTAAACTCCCGCAGTAGGCTCTAAACCCCAAGCCCTAAGCCCACTAAACCCAAAACTTCTCCAGTGGGCAAGAGGCGTGAACATCAGCGAGTCGATTCCGGCGGCCTGCGCGGCCACCATAAACCTCCGGGCTTCCCCTAGAGGGCCCTTTAGAAGTTCAGGGTTAAGGGTTTAAGGTTAATTAGGGTTTAGGGCTTAAGGTTAATTAGGGTTTAGGGTTTAGGGCCCTAAACCCTAAACCCTAAACCCTAAACCGTAGTTTAGGGTTAAGGGTTTCAAGGTTAAGGGTTGAGGGTCCTTTAATTGGGGCTTGGACTTTCTAGATCCTGCCAGGCTGGGTATAAGGGTTCCCTCCGTGGCTCCTTTAGAGGTACCTTTTTAGGTTTTCCTCTCAGGGTTCGTTTAGGGTTTAGGGTTTAGGGTTTAGGGTTTAGGTGGTAGGGTTCGTAAGGTTTCCTCTCAGGGTCTGGCGGTAAGGGATCCATAAAGACTTAAAGATGGATTGTTTAGGATCTTAGCGTTCAAGCGTCCAGGTCCCCATATAGCATATACCCATAGGCTCCATAGTAGTTCCTTTTTGGGACTACCTTATAGGATTCTAAACATGAACCGGAACTACTGTTGCTATGGAGCCTATGGGTATACATTGGCCCACCAATGCTTTTGCATACGAGAAGACGGAACGCTTGAACATTCTTGCCCTCGTACTCATAAGGTAGAGAGAAACGAACCATCCTCAACCCATGCTCCAACTTTTTGGCTTGGCTAAACCCTAAACCCTAAACCCTAAACCCTAAAACCCTAAACCCGTAAACCCTAAACCCTAAAACCCTAAACCCTAAACCCTAAACCCTAAATTCTGCTACAAGTATAGACTGTTTTCGTAGTTAAGGTTGAACTTCGGGCCCCATGAATGGTTGGCTTCATGTCGCTTCCTGCACTGAGCTGGTTGGGATTGCGCTCTGTTCTGCAGATTCTACAGTCTCTCTCTCTCTCTCTCTCTATCTCTCCCTCTCTCTATATCTATTTATCTCTCTATCTCTCTACCTCTCGCCCTCTCTCTCTGTCTCTCTCTCTCCGTCTCGCTCTCTCTATGTGTGTATCTCTCTCTCTCTCTCTCTCTTCCCCTCACTCACATACATTGCGAAATGATTGGCAACCACCTATTTAGACAAATGGAGTCCTTCGTCCTTGGTCATTGGCAAGTACTGTAGTTGTTGCATACTCGTCATCCACTCGACACAAACCTCTACCCCAAACCTCCAAGCCTAAACCCTATCCGTAAAAAGCCCTACAACCCAGAACCCTACCCCCATGAACTCGAAAACCCCAAACCGAAATCATATTCCTCGCCATGCCACGCTACAGCTGTGGCAGTCCCTGCGCCCGCGTTGACCAGACCCAAAGCAATCGGTAGTGCCCCACAGCTGCCTCCGTAGGCTTTCTGGGGCTCTGCAATTCATGGTTTCGGGATCTAACGGTCTAGAGTTTGAGGGTTTAGGGTTTCGGGGTTGAGGACATTTAAGGGTTTAGGGCCTTCGTAGGGTTTCAGGGGTTCTGGGTTCTGCACGATGGCCCAGGCTCACTTGGTTCAGGGTTGAGGCCTTAGTGCTTGAGGTGAGGTTAGCCCACAAAAGCGCTCGCAGATGATCCAGGAATTAGTCAGGGTTCGAGGTACACTCAGAAAACCGACGAAGACTTGCATTAAGGACGTTCATAACATATGTAAGGCTTCATACTGTAATTGAAGGAGCTTTGCTGAGACAAGGTGTAAGATGGTCTCTCCCTAAACGCTAAACCCTCTCTGGTTAGGTTCAGGAGACGCTTGACCTTGTGGTTCAAGAGAGGCTCGGCAAAAAACTGATGGAAAAGGAAAGGGTCCTGCGATACTCAAGGTTTGAGGATCACGGAGCCGAAGCCATAATAATGTGTATATATGTATATTTGGGGGTATGTAGGGTTCAGGGAAGTTAAGGGCTTAGGGTTTAGGGTAGTGTAGGGCTGATGCAGCAAGCCTGCTTTGGTCAAGCCAAAACAACACAGGAGGCACAAAGCCGTAAACCCTACCTAGACCCCCCAACTACCTTCTACTGTTCCCCAACTGCCCACTACTCAAAAACGGCTCCGTTGAAGGGCCCTTGAGAGTGCTAGTAAACCCTACTTGGAGGTCCATGGGTACTTATAATCGGGGTTATAAGTAAGGTAACTATACTTGTAACCCTTATTAGGGGACTTATAGCCCTATACTTATAACTACCCATGAACCTTCAAGTAAAAGTTTGCTTGCTCTTGCGTTTCCGGATCCTGAACTTTCATGCAGGGTGAGCCCACGGAGTGCCAAGAAGCAAAGGGGGCTCAGCAAGCCGAAGGCGGATCCCTTGACCTTACGGGTTTTGGGTTTAGGGAGTAGGGCAAAGGACCAGACCTTCCAAAATCCCTTACTTAAGGAATATCCCTGAAATCATAGTATAATCCTTAATATGAATTAAGGTACATTCCTTAATTAAGGGATTTTGGAAGGTCTGGGGGGTTCAGGGTTGAAGGGCTTATGGGGTTGACTGCGAGCCTCAAGTCCTCAAGCCCCCTTTTCCTTTCGGAGATAGGAAGAGTTCTCGGTTCGTGGCTTTGGGCTTCTTCTGCTAGGGATCCTGCGTCGGGCTGAGAACACTGCAAACAAATCGAACAGCCTACAAGTTTATAGGGTCCGGGGTTTGGGGATTTGCTTGTTCAGGTGTTGACAGTCTCTACGAAATTCTTAGAGTTTTCCAGTTTCTTCTAAAGGGGGCCGCTGGCAAGTCCTGCACCTCAAGGCTTGAAGGCCTGAAGGCACCGATGCTACACAGTGCTCAGAAGCACCCGATCCTCGTCAAGCCTAACACGTGGATGTATGTGAAAGCCTTATTCAACTAGAACAAGGTTTTGAGTGTATTACACTACAATCCTATAGGAATATAAGTTGGGGTGTATGATAGTGCTATAGGCACCATGACGGGATAAACTCAGAATCATTCGACCTGTATACTATTGCCTGTGTGGGCTCACTCTAACAAACAAGATGCAGCGTCTAAACTAAACCCTTAGCCTACCCCAAATAGCCGACGCACTGGGGACTTCGTGCAACAGACAGTCCTACTTGTCCAGTAACGTGGGGGAACTATAGGTTAACCTTTGGGAGTAAAGTTAAACGTTACCTACTCTACTACTAGGCAGCCCTACTTGTCCAGTATCGTGGGGAACTATAGGTTAACCTTTGGGAGTAAAGTTAAACGTTACCTACTCTACTACTAGGCAGCCCTACTTGTCCAGTATCGTGGGGAACTACAGGTTAACCTTTGGGAGTAAAGTTAAACGTTACCTACTCTACTACCAGGCAGCATCGAAACAGTTCAGAAAGGTGGCGACTGCAGCAATGCCTGAGCCGCCCAGGTAGCCTGGGTTGATGCTATAAGGTGTTGGGTTCACGGTTTAGGTAACGAAGATCTAGAAGGGATTTCTTTGGTCTCTTCACATGAGGCTTTTGGCTTGGAAGTACGACCGCCGCGCCGGGCCCCGCCTCCCCTTAGCAATCGGGAGACGCGCAACTGCTATGCACAATCGAGCTATATGGGTGGTTGTCAAAATTGGGGTCCCTCTTTGGCTCAATATTATATTACGGCACTTAGTATTAAGGGTACCCGAAAAGGGACCATAATTTTGACATCCACCCATATGCTGGGCATCAACACTTAAGATTCTCGTCCCCACCAGATGCGCTTTAGAACGGGTAAAGGCTCAGAGCCCTTTCAGAGAACCCGTGACGCCGTGGCACCCATCGGACTCTGTCCATTATGCAAGATGGGAGCCTAAGCCCAAGTGCTAACTATTCCTCGAGGTTCCTTCATATGGATCATTCTCTAAGCTAGGGCCCTTTTTTTCCCCGGCATAGTACCGCACTCCAACAGACAGGACCCTAAAAGGGACCCTCATTTCGAGAGCTCGTTAAGCACTAGATCGACAGGACTGCTATGGTGAAAGCCCTACAGCCCCAATCCCTGAAAAAGTTGAACTCTGAGGTTTTGGATTCCCGAAACTGTTCTGCCTAGGGCCGACCTAAACCCCATAACCCTAAACGGTTCTTAGGCTTGGGGGTGTTGGCTTTCGGTTTCTGTTTGAATCTAAGGTTTGTGGCTTCGGGTTTAGGGCTTAGGAGTTGAAGCTCCGCTGTATCTTAGGGGCTGAGTACCCAAGCACAAAAATTTGGTTAACCATTTTGACGATGGTAGAGTTATATGAACCCGAAAAGGATAAAGGTTGCCGACCCTGCCGACTCAGCTACACAGGTATACTATGATTACACATTTAGAGTAGCCCCTAATTGAAGGCTGGGTTTAAGCTTAAGCTTTAGTGCTTACAAGCCCAAATCCTGGATTCAAGTTGTTTCGTTTAAACGCTCTTTTCCGTCTGAAGGAAGTCTCGGCTCTACAGATTGGGCTTTCGGGTTTCGATGCCGTAAGCCGTCAAACCCTCCTAGCCAGCACGCTGCCACGAAGCCCATGGCTGCACTCTCTGGCGGCGCAACTGCAGAAAGGGCGCCGGTAATGAGGAGTCCTCAGTTGTTCCCCATGAAACTCTGCTAAGGTAAAAGCCAGAAAGTTGGAATATGATTATCCTAAACCCTTTATGGTAAATTATAGGGTATCCTACCCTGAAACCATGTTCCAACTTTCTGGAGTTCCCTTTACAACAAGAACTTCAACGGCAGTGGTGGTAGTAGTCTTCGTCGCCGAAGTAGGAATAGCAGCAGAAGCAGAAGCAGAAGCAGGAGGAGGAGGAGGAGGAGGAGGAGTGGTAGCTTTAGCAGCAGAAGCAGTAGTTCGTAGAAGGTGGTGGTAGCAAAACCACAGCCGTAAAACCGTAGAGCAAAATAGACCCCTTCGGTTTGCTGTCCGGGGTTTCAGGACTAAGGGTTACACACGGCTTTCTCAGGATCTTTGGAATGACCTTGATGTACAGTAAAAGCCAGAAAGTTGGAATATGATTATAATAAACCCTTTATGGTAAATTATAGGGTATCCTACCCTGAAACCATATTCCAACTTTCTGGAGTTCCCTTTAAGTTAATGTGTCGTTGTTGTTGGTATACCGCTTGCTTAGTTTCAGAGGTCTTGTCCCAGACTTGTGGAATCGCTGATGTGGCCGTTGGTTGGATGGGCCTCGTGGACCTCAAACACCCTGAACTCCAAACCCAAAGCCATGAACCCAATCCCAAAACCCTGAACTCAGAACCCAAAAATCCTAAACCAAAACCCCAAAACCCACAAGACCCCACAACCCCGAACCAAAATTCCAAAATTCACGAAAGCCCGCTCAAAATCCAAACCCCTAAACCCTGAAGCCCCTAAATGCGTACCCACCTAATTACTTCGTTTCGAAGGCTTCAGAGCTCTACGGCTGAAGACCGCTTTGGGGTTCGAGGTGCTGCAGTCGAGGGTCTTGATTTGTTCAGGCTTTAGGGTTGTAGGTTTCCTCTATGGCGTTTTCACTTGAAGGCTTGTGGGGAGCTTTGTTGGGCGTTTATTGGGGGTCGACCACATAGCCAACAAAACAGAAACCCTAAATCCTGATCCCTCAACCCTAATCCCCAAACCCTAAACCCTAACACCCTAAACTCCAATCCTTTTAACCCTGATCCAGGATGCAGACCACAAGCAAAGTTCAGGGCCAAGCCATGACACCAGCTATTCGGCAAGACTGATGATTTTGTTTGCTGTCTTATCCTCAAGACCCTAAAACTTCGACAGATTTCAGATTTCATGGTTTTCGTCTAAGCCCCAAAACAGTACCCTAAACCCTGTCACCGTTCCTAACCCCACCATAGACCCCATATTCCAAACCTCCTGAACCTGAGCTCTAAACAGACCCAAGCAGGGCTTAGGGTTTCCAGTTTTAGGGTGACTAAACTACTACATCAGAGGTTTAGGGAAAAGGATCTGGCCACCAAACATGCGGTTTCGTACCAGAAAACTTATGAGCGCCATGATCGCAGTAGCCTTAAAGGCATCACCTGCATGACACACAAATACCAACTTCGAAAAACAAGACCCCCAGACCTCCCAAACTTCTACAGCCCTTAAAGAACAGGAACTTCTACAGAACGCAGCTGGAACCCTTGCAGACTGGTTTTTGGGTGGCGGGTGATAGGACTTTCGGATTTTACAGTTTAGGCTTCAGGGTGTTCGGGTTTAGGGTCTTGGGGTTTAGGGGGCTTAAGGCAGAACTCTGCCTGGCACATTCTGCCGCGAAGCCCAGCAGCAGCCACGGACAGGCATCGAGCAGGGAGCTCCTCCGCAGCGAGTTCGATTCTCTCTTGATTGAAATCATAAGCCGCAAAAAGGCTAAAGTTTCAGTTCTATAAGGGGTTATCCGGTTGATGATATAAACCCTGCATTACTCATAATAAGGAATATACCATAAATCCCGTAGTTTAGGGTCCTTAAGGTAATGCAGGATTATATCATCAACAGAATCATTAGCCGCAAAAAGTCTAAAATTTCAGTTCATAAGGGGCTATAGTACCCGCAATAGTGTGAAGTGTACTCATTCAGCCACTTTGCTTTGATTGCTTTCTATTCCACTCCGCCCGCCGGGTTGGAAGCGATTTCCGCTTTAGGGATTGAGTGCTGCAGGTTTTTGTCGAAAACCGAAAATAGGCTGGCCGTTTTAAACCCCTTGGCCATGAAAATGGACAAGACAAGATGCCCGAGAGCCTACCTGGAAAAGATTCCCATCCAGAGAAGGGAGAACTACTCGAGGCAAGACAAGGGGGGTATATCGAGTGGTGCTAGACCCCTCAAAAACCCCACAGCCTTAACCCGAACCCCTATACCCTACACCACAAAACCCTAGCCCCTACACCCTAAACCCCTACACCCCTAAACCCCTAACGCCTAAACCCAAACCCCTACATCCCTAATTCCTAGAACCCTACGCTCAAAAACCCCTAAACCCTACAACACTGAAACCCCGAACCAAAACGGTTACCTCCAAGACTCCAATATTCAATTGCAGTAGGATCCCGAATATGATTTAAGGTATATTTCTGAAATAAGGGGTATTGGAGGCTCTGGGAAAGGTGTCATATTCCCACACAGCTATAACTAGGTACCCTATAACCCAAAACCCCATAACACCCTAAACCAGAAGTCTGTTATACTCAAGGCACCAGGTTAATCTTCTCAACTGTGGTAGGCTACTATGAACCCCGAAAGGTTAAAGGTTACCTACTCAGCTACCAAAGAGTTAAAGCTGACCCTGAAACCCTACACCCTATAGAATCCTTACAGCAATCCTTAAAGGAACCCTCAAAGTACACGTACCCTTACCCCAAACCCTGAACCCTAAACCCTAACCCAAGGCACCAGAGCTCGGAGACAAAGCGCCGCCAGGCGGGCTTCGGGATCATGGGCCGCTCCCAGGGGCCGTCCTCGGGATCCGAAAAGGTTCCGTTCCTTTGGCGGGCTTGGGGTTTCAGGTTTAGGGGTTTAGGGTTTGTATAGGGCTTAGGGTTTATAAGGATTATATAAGGCTTTAGAGGTTAGGGTTGAGGGGTTTAGGGGTTTAGGGGTTTAGGGGTTTAGGGCTTAGGCTTATAATTACCCATGAACCTCCAAGTAGGGTTTCGGGGTTGAGATTGAAGGACTACAGGTGGCCAACTATCTTCGAACACAATTAAGACTTGCAAACCCGGAGTGTAAGACACCTGCGGTCTTTCCTTCGGGCTCCTTGTTGTAATTGTTGGAACTAGTGCAGCTTCAACGCGGTATTCTAGTGATTCGGGTCCCTTTACAATGGGTAACCCTTTTGAAAAGGACTTAGGGGTTGGTGGAGGCTCTTCTTTACACAGCCGAAAGGGGTCCAAGTACTCAAACAGCAGCGTTTTTACGGCAACAGTACCCAGAGAGCCCAATACCCCTTAATTAAAGAATATGGCTTAGATTATATAGGGCTTCATATTATAATCTAAGCGGCATTCCTTAATTAAGGGGTATTGGGCTCTCTGGGCACAGTTCCGGGTTTCGGGTTTAGGGCGAATCAAAAGGGTGGTGGACGCGCTGGGGTGGGCGTTAGGCCCTATGTTGGTCCTCTTCCTCGTCCCAGCTGTTCGGCTTGCTAGCCCATGGGTCCTTAACTGCCATTGTGAAGGGGTGGCTTTGGGTCTAGGGCTTGGGTTTCGGGCTTAGGGTTTTACACCAACTCTGTTGGCTGAAGTTGCTGTTTGCGGTTACAGAAAGGTCACCAGACAGCAGCAAGAACAAACAAGTCCCGTAATCGAGAACTGTTGCTAAGTCTTGAGGTCCCTTTGTAGAGCCCTTGCACACACCTTGCAAAGCCCTTGCAGAACCCTGGTCAAAGCCATGTGGTAGGGACACATAATCCTAGCTAACTTCGTTTAACGAGACTCAGGTGCTTACTTGGTGCAGCTTGATTCTTCATTTAGGGCCTTGATAAACAGAAGCTGGTTGCTGGGGCATGCTAGAGTTTATCCTATACTCAAGCTCTTAACTCGAGGACTCCCGGGTTGAGGGTTGATGGTTGGTGGCTTAATGGGTTTAGAGCTTAGGGTTGAGGGATGTGAATGCATCGGAGGGAATACCAGCCCTCATCATCATGCTTCCGGATTCCAGCTTTCTCGGGTTTGCTGTAGATTATGGTTTACCTGGATAAAACCTACATGCTTAAGGACATACACTGATCAATTCATAGCAAGGAACACAAAAAGGGTAGGTAACTTTAGTCAAAGGCGAAAAGGAGGGACCCTTAATAAGGACCCCTAGGTACATACCCTTCATATAGCTATTGTATACCCATTATATAGCCCATTATAGGGTAGGGGTCCCCATTAAGGGTCCCTCCTTTTCCCCTTTGATTTTGGGTTCGAGCACGGAAAAAAGCGTGTAGAGCCTCGACCCCGAAGCTTCTCCCAGCATTCGAACATCGCCAGCAAACTCATTGCTTCAGAGCCACGACCCTGAACCCAGAAGCCTTGAGACCTAAACCCTTACACCCCTGAAGCCTAAAGACTAAACCCTAAACTCCAATCCCTTAAACCCTAAACCATAAATTAAACCCTTAAACGCCTAAACCCCTAAACCCCTGAAGCCTAAACCCCTGACCCCTTAAACGCTAACTTGGCTCAACATGACTCAGCTACTGAGTCAGTGAGCCCTTTAAGCTCTAAACCATGGCGAGGAGCTGGCATGAGCTCCACCTCCCCACCCATAGCAGCAGCTGCTTTGGCACAGCAGCTGTCATGGCTCCTTGGAAACTCAGGAGGCATCTGCACTCTTAGGGCCCAGGGGCAATAAGCTGGGCTCCCAGAGAAGTCGGTGTCGGGAGTCTATTTGACTCCTTCAATGATGGCCATATAAAACCTCATGACAGTTGCCGGATCTATTTGTGATACCATTCTATGGGTTCGGGGTTTTAGGGTTTAAGACTTATAGGGCTTGGGGTTGCCTATATCAGAGCTGCAGCCGAGCTGCGCCACTTGCTGGAGGCAGCATGCAGCAATGACAGCGGCAAAGATACCGGGTGCCATGATTTTCCGACGCATCGATCCCCTTTCTGGGAGCTCGGGGTTTAGGGTGTAGGGGCTCCGAATAGCGCCATATAGGACCTCTTCATGGGTTTATGGCCCCACACCTGCGGGACTGACGCATAGCATACCCAGACCCCCGGGAGGATCCAAAAAGTAGATCCCTTAATGGGGGCTCCTATAAAGTACCCTTATAAGTAGTTTAGGGCCCCAAATTAGGGGATCTACTTTCTAGATCCTCCCGGGGGTCTGGGTAAGGACATATGCTACGCCTTGCGGCGAGTTTTCGGACTAAGTGCGAGAGCACGACTTGGGTGTTGGGGTGAATTAAGGGTGTGCGAGGTTCAGGGTTTGCGAATTCAGATGTGGAACCAGGGTTCAGTGTGACATTTAGGACAAATCTGAAAAAAGGGTACATGGCTTGGCATTGAGGAGATTAAAGCAAAGCTGAGGTTGGACCAAACGTCTTGGATGACAGTCACAGCCAAGCATGGTGTCAGGAATAACCGACGGAGGATCTACAGAGCACATCCCCTAACGTGGGACGCTAACTACCAAAGAGTACTCTACAGGAACGCCCTTAAGGGATCTACTGTTTGGATCGTTCTGCGAGGTCCGGGTTCCTCCTAGATAATCATAGAATATGACAACCTGACAACACTATTACTCATGTTCAAACTCACTTTTCGGATCGTCCCACGAGGTCTGGGTACCTCTTAGATAATAATAGGATAAGACAACCTGGCAACACTATTACTCATGCTCAAACTCACAAATTTGGTTCCTGTCTGGGTGGGATCTAATAAGGAACAGCATTGCCAATGGTAGCTCCTTTGCATTGGCCTTAAAAACAAAGCACCCATACAACCGTCCTTCAGAACAAACCCTCAAGAACCCTACAACACCCGCGTGAACAAGCCCAAACACCTCTTGATCCCAAGACCGCAAGCATCGACGACGAGTGCCGGACTCAATACTCATGGGCTCCTCCTGAGTCCTGCCAAACTTAGTGGCTGAGTACCCAGGCTCAACAAAGGTTAAACGTTTTCAACTATGGCAAGGATATATGCACCCTAGAAGGTTAAAGGTTACCTACTCAGCTACTGAGCAGAAGTGGAAGGTTTGGGTTTGGGGTTCCTTTTCCCTAAACCCTGAAACCTAAACCTAAGGTACAAGGGGCAGGGCTTGGGCTATTGTGGCTTAGAGTCCAGCGCTTCTTCGGGTTCCTCTACGGGTTGTATTCTACAAGGGCTTCTACATATTGGCACCATATGAGGACCATAATCATATCTCAGTTTACAATATGGTGCTTTCAGGGTCATATAGAGGAAGCCATTTTGATACAGCTCTGGCAAGGGTACAGTCCAGCTACTGACCACCGGGCACGTCTTTGGGATCTGAGATCTTAGTCACACATACCCTGGGCCCGTAATCCCAAAAACGCAAACTGCGAACTGCGCCCTCAAAACTCTGTATTTCGCATCCCCCTCCCCCCTGACCCCCCCTGCCAAACAAATACTGGTAAGCCCTAAGACTCCAAAAAGCCCAAAGTAGGTAGCGTGTTTCTAGACTTCAGACCCCAAAGTAGGTACTGTTTGTATACTTGGAGTCTTAGGGAAGGAACGAATGGCCTCTGCTCAGGGCTTCTCAGATCATGGGAACCGCGAGAAGGTCTCTGCTTGAGAAACAGATCAAAGAGTGCCTCACGATGAGTTATACAAATATCACTAATTTCAACTATATAATTTTCACATTCTTTGAATGGAACTAAGTGCGAGGGGTCGCCGATGTGAACGACTAGGCGGTCCGCAATGATGTCCATCCAGCAAAAGCTTTCTCAAAGAAGGGCGCTTGCCCCGCACCGTGGTGAGCAACAGGTTCGAACTGCTTCTTTTGTATTTGCGCGGCCTTATGTCTGCGACATAAAAAATTTCTTTTATGGCACAAGAACCGACAGGGCTGATGTTCTGCCTGGAGGTTGGCACTCGCGCGGTCCGTCACCGGCAAATTTGAGAAGCTGCTTGGCCTTCCGTGAGACCGCTCCGAAGCCCAGAGTACTTTCTCAAAGGGTCCAAGTATCATTATGGTATATACTTATAGGGTATTTTGGGGGTCTAAGTATATACCATAATGATACTTGGACCCTTTGGGTTTGGCCTGTCGTCCATGGCGGAGCACGACAGGCAGTGCAGGCTTCTGCGAGGCCTTTGCCTTCAGCCAACTGTTTTAGACTGCCTGGCATTTCCCTAAACCCCAAAACCCTAAACCCCTAAGCCATAGGCCTTTTCGATTGGAACAGGGTGCCTTTAAAAGGTTACTCTAAGCCTGAATAAGCAGAGATACCTTGAAATTCACATTCGCAAGCGGCTTCATCATTAAGAAATCCAGACTACCCTGACCTCTGATATCCTTTCTTCTCTTCTCCAGCGCCACGGCTGTACCATAACATACCTCCTAGCCTGGTAGCAACTCTTAATGGAGGAATTAGAACAATGACCCTGAAGCAAAGCAGACTTCGGTGGCTTCATTTAAGGCATGCCTTCGAACCCTACAGCCCCAAAGCCGCTCAACCCGTAGAGCCCGAACCCCAAAGCTTTCCTGCAACACTAATGCCGGAAAAAACCCTAGGGTTTAGGGCTTAGGGTTTAACCTGTTAACATTTACACCTAGAAGCCACCCAAAATCCTAAAACTCTAAACTGCCCTGTGCCGGAATATCACCCATGTACACCTCGAGTACACCCTGCGCGTGCAAACGGGACCACCCCTGTCCCCCGCCAGACCGGTCCTTGAGGAATCTAATCAGGATGAAAAGGATCCACGACAGAACCCCAAGCCCCAAACGCTAAACCCAAAGATCCTCAACCCTAAACCCACAGACCTTAAACCCCAAACCCTGAAACACTAAGCCCTCGACCCGTAAACCCTGAGGCCCGCGACCCTGAACACAAAACTTACCTTAACCCTAAGCCCCCGAACCCTGAACCCTTGAGGCCCGGATACCGTAGGGGCCTTAAGAATTAGAATAGGGTTTTGAAGCCCATTATACTATACTTATCATAAGGAACCCCAAGACAGTGTTGGTAATTATTTAAACCCCTATGTTAGCCTCCCCGGCAAGCTCGAGAGAAAGCGTGAGAGCTCTGCCTTCGCCTGATTCCGGTTTGGTGTTTGGGGAGGTCTCGGGTTTAGGGTTTAGGGCTAGACCCCCCGACTACCCTGTAATATACCCTAGCCCTAAATACCCAATCTTAAGGGCCATAAGGACTCCGTGTCATGGAGTCCATGAAGTTCAGAGGCACTTGGGGGATTTCGGGCTTGTACTTGGAGGTTCATGAGTAGATATAATGATAAGTAGGGTTACAAGCAAGGTACCTATACTTACAACCTTTTTTCGGGAACTTCTAACCCGACTTATAACTACCCATGAACCTCCAAGCTAGGTTTAGGGTCAAAAGTCAACTCCGAGGGGCGCTAGTGGGCTTTCTGGTAGGGTTCTCGTGCGTCTTCCTTAGGGGAACTATGGTGACTACCAGGGTGAGGTCAAGGGTGTAGGGAATGCCAAGTTGTGCTTTAAATTGTTGAGAAGGCATGTCTTTGCTTTGATGCCAGGGTTCTTTGTTGGGGTCGCATGTTGAAGCTGACACTTCATCTTCCGAGTATCTTGCGACAGTACGAGGAACATACGACACCATGAGCAAGCAACAAGGCTAGGAAACAATGACTGCTCCACAGGAGCACAACAGCCTTTTAAGCCATGCTGGCCAGGTCCTGCCTGTTACACAGCTGATCTTGCACAGAACTGCTGTCACCACCGCCAGTAACATGGCCCCACGTCACCACGGATCCATCGGCCAGGATCGCTGCAAAGGCTCGTTCGGAGGCTTGAATCTGGGTCACGTTCTTCAGTTGCTTTTGCACAGCACTGCTGTCGCCACCGGCATCAGTGTGGCCCCAAGTCACTACGGATCTATTGCCAAGGATGGCCGCAAAGGCGTAGTAAGAGGCTTGAATTTGCTGCACACTCCTCAGTTGCTCTTGGACAGCCTTGTTGTCGCCACCACCACCAGCATGGCCCCAAGTCACCACCGTACCATCCCCAAGGATGGCAGCAAATGCTCCCGCAGCGGCTTGGATCTGCTTCACCTTGGCTGACTTATAAACCCCTCCTAAAAATCAAACTTTTAGCGTACTTATTATAGCTCATATCGAAACCCAAAAAGTTAAAGTCCTAAGTCCTAAGAGCCAACAAGAAGAATGCCGAGTCACGTTCCTCAACTGATGTTGCACCGCGCTGCTGTCGCCACCGGTGTCAGCAGTCCCCCAAGTAACCACAGATCCATCTTCAAGGATGGCTGCAAAAGCATAGTGAGTGGCTTGAATCTGTTGCACTTTCTTCAGCCGACTTTTCACAGCATGGCTGCTGCCACCCCAGCCCTTGCGGCCCCACGCAACTACGAAGCCATCGCCAAGGACGGCAGCAAAAGCGTGGTGGTTGGCCTGAATCTGCTGCGCATTCCTCAGCTGACTTTGCACAACAGTGCTGTCTCCACCCGACCGCGTGTCACCCCATGCCACCACGGAGCCATCTGCGAGCATGGCAGCAAAGCAAGGTGAGACGACTGAATCTGCTGCACATTCCTGAGTTAATCTTTGACAGCACTGCTGTCGCCACCACCATCGGTG